TATATAAAACAGATATTGCTTTAGATAAGTGATTTATAGCTAATAATCTGTGAAGTTTAATTAAATTTCAGTTCGACCTATCAATTTGCTGAATACCAATCATATATAAAATACCCTGAACTTTCTTCCAAACAACCTTTCACTTCTTCGATATCAATCCTCGCTCTTTCTATTCTTACAAGACTTCACATGAGATGAAGCGGTTGCATAACGACTGAGTGCATTATCTGAGAGTGTTATTAAGGTAGCTGAGAATTGGTCGTGTGCGTATATCGTGCTTATGTAGGTGTGAATAGGTGTAGATATGGGTTTGAGTGTGAATATAGTAGTTTTTTTGAGATTAAACCAATTACATGATATGTATGACTGGAAAATGGGGAGAAAGAGAGAGAGGGAAACTTTGTTTCAATCAATATTTTATTATTTTAGATCTCAAACTTTCTTACAAAACGGATGACATAAAGTAGCAGTGATTTCAATTTCTATTAGCAAAAACAACGTTGTAAGTTTGACGGATTTTCTTACATTTTAGATGTATTTGCTTGCCATAGATAGAGATTTTGTACTGAGCATTCATTTACTGATTTATTTAATTACCTGCGAACTGCTTCATGTTTTGTCATATGTACTGTGGTGCTACCCTGAAAAGTTTGATAGAATTTGCTAGCAATATTAGTAGTTAGCATCCCTTCTTGAGATTTAAAATCCGAGATTTCAGATTTAGTTGTGTCCTCGGCCGGTTTTATTTGATTAGATTACCGTTTTCTCTATGGAGGACTATTTCTACTTTGTTTTCAGCGATGAGCTCGACAAGTGTTGGTCAGTTAATGGCTGATATGCGTCAGCTTGTGATAAATTTGCAAACACGTGAACGTGCTACGGACAGTGCGCTTGCAAAAAGTCAAATTGTTAATGATAAAATCTGTGGTATGAAGGAGGTAAGGAAACTTTTTTAGAAATGTTTTGTAGCTGTTAATTTAGATATTAAAATAAAATGAAAGACTTATATTGCTTCATTTATTGCTCTCGTAAGATTGAGTTTTTCTTCAGTTCTTTATGTTAAGGCCTGCTTTTTGTAATTTTTTACCGTCATTGGAATGCTCTGTATTTGTAATTAGGCAAGTTTATGCTTGTTCCACTTTCAAATATAGAAAAAAATAGTTTAAAAGAAAGACATTTAAGAAATTAGATTGAACTAATTTTTTAAAATGTGAACAGAAAAGGAATGAATATGACTCATATCAAAGAATTATGCAAAAGCCAGGGGCTGCACCGACGAGAAACTACCTGATATACTTTAATAATTCTAATGAAAATTATTTAAAGACACTCAATTTCTCAATTAACTCTTTCAGTATTGAAAAAGAAATGAAAAACTGTGCTTAGCAAAGAAAGTACAACTTGAAATTGTAGCTTTGACAATCGGACGTACAAGCGTTACCAATATTGCTGTTGAAAGAATTTATGGAAAAATTGTGTGCTTGTCATTTGAAGAATTTCATTTCAGTATCAGGAAGAAGTGGCAAATATGAATGACTGTTGGCGAATGCAAGGCCGCAAAGTTCTTGTTGCAGGCTTACAACATGAAAATCGACAAATTTTACAGTTACAACAAGAGAATAGGTGTGTTGTGATATGGAATTGGCACTTGAATGTTGTTCAGCTTACTTATTAGTTAAATTTTTGATATTAAATAGTTCAAGCTAATTTGGTCTATGTGATTCACTCATTTTTGGATTGCTTGTCGAGTTAAACTGCATCTGTAGTAGCTATGGTGTAGTTAATTACACCCTGTGTAAAAGAAAGATTCTATATGATTATACATCAGGGAAACTAAGGTTTATCTTTCGAATTTTATGACGTTATGATTTATTTGAAGTCGTTAACAAGTACCAGATTAATAAAATTTTTAGGGAACTTCGGCAAGCGTTGGAAGATTGCGAAAACACCTTACAATTAGTAATGCAAAAGCATAGGGATGTTATAACAAAGCTTGCGAAGCAGTTTGTTTCACCACTTCGAACCTCAGTCGCAGTAAGCCGGAACTTTTATGTTTTATTTTTTGTAATGAATAATTAACGACTAGAAAATTCACCATGTTTATCTTCTTTTTTTGATTTGTTTTCTTTTTTATTTCACATTTTATTTGAAAATAATGTCGATAAATTTTTGTAGCAGGATAGCAAGAAATGTGAAGCGCCTGTAAACGAAAAAATCGTCAACCTTTCAAGGTTGTTGAATGAATGTCTTGCGGATGGTGAGAGCGTTTCGAATCATGATCAAGAGGTTAGTTTATAATTTTTACTGCTGGTACAGTTTATTAAGATTCTTTGGCACTGCTGAAATTGTCATTTAGTGCAGCTAGTAGTTGACAGTTTGCGAACCTCATTTTTGTTTCATCGTGCTGTGATTGTCTTCTACATCATATCAGATTGTTGCTATTTTCTTTATTTGGTTTAAAGAAATTTTCTGCAGTTAATTGCAAGGCTGGCAACAGAAAATGCATGCCTTAGGGAATTGCTAAATATTTCAACTCACAACGAACCAAACATTGCACACCACTTCATGGATCTTACAAGTGGTGGAATGCCGAATTATTCTAATGGTCCCAAAGCGGTTTATGATAAAAACTACGAAAAAAGTAAGGATAAAATATTTTATTCAAAATATAAATACTTTTTTCTATTTTTCCTTATTGTTAAATTAAATTGATTCGGAACTAGTTTCGCCATGCTAGCGGTTCTGCAGCAGTGCATTCGAGCTGTTGCCTTCATGTAAGCCCCTATTACTTTTAGGTGCACAGTTTTTCTTTCCTATTCGATAGTGATACAAATCTGGATATCACGATCATTTTGACTATCTGTTACCACAGGTTTTCAAGAATTTGGGGAGCAGATGTTTCCAGTGTACATTTGTACACTTCTTACTCTAGGAAGAAGCATTCTGTTCGCACACATCATAGTTTTTGTGATATTTAGAAGTGCGGTTAGTAAAGTTTTGAAAAAGTACGATCTTTAGACTAAGGCATCTGCACTATTTTTTGAATCTTAGAACATTCTATAGCTGTTTTATTCTATAACTGTTTTAGGTAATACATCTGCGCTTACCGGGAACTCACTCTTGCGCAACAAGGAAGATGTCAGGCAAAATTCCGTTCTGGTGATGTTTAATTTCTAGCCAAATATTCTTTTTTCACCATTGCATTGCTGTTTTTTTTTACTGCTTTTCCAGACAATATCGAACCTCAGGATTTAAACTTTATTTTTTCAGAACGTAAATAATGCCATATCAGAGATCTGAAACGATTTCTTCAATGAAAATTAGCTTCAGATTTGACTTAAATTCATTTTAAATTATCAATTTTTAAGTTATAGTTCCTGATTTCTATATAATCACATCAAAGTTCTTATTATGTGAATTTACACTTTTCAGATGAAGAAGGTACCTGACACTGTGATTAAAAAAAATGCAATATCTCATGCATAAGGAAGAAAAGATTGTGGTAATGAATTTTGCTTATTCGGGTTCTATTTGTTCAAATTTTGTTATTGTTTGCTTTTATTTGAAAACGGATGCCAGTTTCAGAAGAGCACAGATCAAAAAATAAAAAATAAAAATGGCAGGGATAGGCCTTATTCTGACATGCTTTCATTGGAGAACTCTTGAAGGTAAAAGGTGAATTTTACTTAGAGACAACTAAATGCACTTCGAACTTCTGCACGATCAATGAAAAACTTTCGAGGACACTCTGTGCATGTGCATATCTATTTCGGCATACGATTGAAAGATGTACTATATCGATTAGATATGCCTCATTTTCAATCGTTTTGCTGATAAAATAGGACTGATCAATAGTTCTGCCTACCTTTTGTTGCTCGTTTATACCTACATTTCGTTTGATTGTTTCTTCATACTTAACTGTATGCTCTATTATTTTTTGTCTTTCCATTTACGATTATGCTGTTCCCACGTTTTCATCTTACCGATTTTGTAATTCACTTTTATCAGTGTACGAATTGTTTTCCTCACCAAAGTGAGAATTAACTTTGAAAAGACAATTTTCTCTGAAATTTAATTCAATATAGAAGACCTGGGTTGTTTGAGAGTGGAACATATGCGCCGTTGAGGATTTTTTACTTACCAAATTCGTGAACTCACTTTTTATTTACTGTAAATTTGGATTTGAATGCGTACATTTCGTTGTTGGCTTGTCAGAATGATGTGCTACTTTTTCGGCAACCAGTCAGTTTTTTTACAGTATGACTGCGTGAATATTCTGTAAGGATTTAATTCCCGTGAAAGTTACGCGTGCATTTTTGAGGAAAAATATAGAAACTAGTCTGATGATTGATAGTTGGACCTCCGATCCTAGTTAGCTTTAATTATTTTACTGTTATAAACCATACAGTTGTTTGGGCCATTATATGTTAGTGTTTCTGTGAACGGCTGTTATTCCAACATAATTTTTTGACATTCCTAAAGCTGCTGTGCTCACGCAGTTTCAAATATGAGCTTGGATTAGTAGTTTGGCTTTTGAAAAAAATTTGTCTTAAATAATTTTCCTTGAAAAAAAGTGGCAGCTGTTGTGATTAGGCAAAGATGTGGTTAGCTAGAATAGTTTACTTGTTTTGTTGGATCTTTCTTTCTATGCATAATGATTATTGATTCCCATCATTTTTATGCTCAAATTTCAGTAAATTATCAAGAAGTGAATTGAAAAATTCATAACAATGAAGCTATGTTCTGGAAGAAATTTTTTCACTGTTGCTTGATTTTCGATTGACGTTCTTTACTTTTTGACTCTATAATCCCAGATCAAACATCGTCATTTATTTTTGGATACTTTGTTTTGTTCAAAAAGCCTTGAAAAATAAGTTAACGGTTATAACAAATTGAGAGAATTTTCGTTGTTGCGCTGTACGATTACAAATGTGTATTAAAATTTCCGAGTACCTCCAGCTCAAACTGACAGGTACGTTGCGTTTAGTCTTGCATTTGTTTTACAAAGCTCTTGTTAATGCGTCAATTTTTGCAAGAAATTTATTTAAAATTATTAATTTAGCGTTTTGTCTTGTATTGGCACTTATTTTACGAGGCTCTAGTGATATATCAGTGACGTAGATGATGAGATTAATCCTGACATTCTTGAGACTTCCCACTTAATTCGTTCTGTTTTGAAAACTTTTTGTAAACAATTTAGGGAAGGCGCCGTCGGTTCTTTCCTTTATTTATTCCATTACCTTTAAATTATCATTCATATATGTTGTAAGGTGATGGAATCACGGAAATTGATCTACAGTTCTCAACGTAAAATCCCATTTTTCTCATTGGTCCTATTATAGTATTTTTTAAAATTATTTTTAGCTGATATGAAATTCGTTTTTTTTTGGATCAATATCCCAGATTGCCATCAAAATAGTACAAAGTTTTAAGAAAATGAGTTATTTGCATGATATAAATTTGTCAGGAAGTGGGATATAAGTTACGTATCGGGAATGCAGTATAGTTTCTGTTTAGTTCGTTATGCTTCTGATGAGTCATATTTCTTGATGAAATCTATAACTTCTCGTACATCATCAGGAGAACCGAGAAATACTGGACTCCGGTCGTGAATTGATGTTGGCACAATATCAAGTATAGGTTTAATTCCATTTGTTGCCATCCCACCAGCTTGTTCTATGATATATGACATTGGAATCGCTTCGTAAAGCAGTCGGAGCTAAATTGATTGTCAATTTGATAATTTGCTGTCTAGAACGAAACAAATCATTCGTCATTTTTCACGAAGATATACAAACTGTAGGTTATTCATCATCAGCAGACACGAATTTCCTCGTATAGCATCAAATACCTTACTTGCAATACGCGATGCTATGATGTTCACCAGGTAGTATTCGTGAAAATTTTGCAAAGCAAACTATTTCCTGGTTAACAGAATTTTCCCTGTAGTCAACTCATGTTGAGAATCACGATGAGTTGTGGTGCGAACGATAAGAAAGTTATGGGAAGAGAAATACCTTTCCCATTGGCTTATCCTTCATTGCAGGATACATAAAAATACCACCATAAAGCAAAGTACGGTGTATATCTGAAACCATGGATCCAACATAGCGCGCATTCATAGGTTCACCTTTCAATGGATATTTTCTGGTGTTTACATATTCTTGAATACCTTTGGACCATTTAGATGTATATCCTTCATTGGTACTATAGATGTTTCCTTTTTGTGGTATTTTCATTTGGTGATTTGTTAGGATAAATTCACCAACACTCTGAAATTTTGGAGTTTATGAGAAATGAATTAAAAAGGATTTTGATGGCAAGAGAACTAGAATCGATCTTTTCTAACGAAACTGGAGTGTCTGCAGTAAGTTTGAACAGTTCTTAAATGACATCTTGGAATTTTGACTGACAGAATAGGCTTCTAGAATTTCTTTTGCCTGATTAAAAACCACGAAAGAAAAAAAAAGATGAACATACAGGATCGAGTGTGAAGCCATTAACGCCATTTCCGGTTGAAAGAACAAGCATGGTGGCGGAGCCATATAAAGCATAACCAGCTGCAACCATATTTCGTCCGCTTTGTAGCAAATCAGCTAGGGAAACGGGATTATCTGATTGCTTTTTGTAGATTCCGAAAATTGTTCCAATTGATGCTAGGCAATCAATGTTTGATGATCCATCGAGTGGGTCAAATGTTACGATGTACTTGCCCTGTTTAGAAGGAGCTACTTCGATCAGCTTAAAATTATGTAATTTAAATATTTGCATGTCATTAATATTACTATTGATCATGTTATAAAACTTAACTTCAGTCATTCACGCAACATAGGAGACAAAGAAAAGCAATACAAATATGGTTCGACAACTGAAATATTCGATGGAAGGTTTCAATTTCAGCAATCTAAGTTATTATAGATTTGCCAGAAGTCTATAGACATTTATGGAAAATTAAATTATGATGAGGTAAATGAAATCTGAAAACCTCATCATTTTCCTCTGAAATCATTGCACATGTAGTGTACGATGACTCAAGCATGTTGATCATATATTCGTTGCTAATAATATCCAATTTTTTGACATCTTCACCTTGTATGTTTTGTTTGCCTGCTAATCCTGTCAACTGTACAATGCCTGCTTTTCGGACGGCACTTGAAATTGCCTAAATTTTTTCTAAAGTTTATCGCATTCCAGTCTATACTGTAAAGTTCTTTTCAAAGTTTGATCGCAATTCGCTACTCAGATTTGCAATTAGCAAGTTACATTCCTTACTCGTAGCTGTTAATGAATAATGATGTCTTCCTAATTATCATCATAGTTTAGGCACCACCTTTGAAGTATCTTATTTTATACTGGCTTTATGAAACATATATCTGCAATGATTTAGATTACTTTTATTTCAGTTTAAATTTGAAAAGTTAGAATAACGTACCTTAATAGCAGTGAGCAGTGATGTCAAAAGATTAGTAAGATCACCGGTTGCTGTGGGATGATTCTGCTGATCACGAAGGACGAAACGCTGTAATGTCATGGCATTCGTTTCCATGCCATATTCTGCTGCTAAAATTTTTGTCTTGAGCTTTTAAAATTTTATCAATATTTTATATACATGATAAAAAAGGTGATAAAAGTGCTTTACTTCAATTATGATTTTAATCTCTACAACTGTATAGCAATCATCATAAGGAGGAGAGTTAACTCTCGACCATTATGGTAATAAATTGTTCACTCCGTTCTACTATTCAGGTGTTTCAGACACTACCTTTGCTTGCTTTTCTCATTTTTAATTCATCGCATTTTACTTCTGATTCCGTACTCATCCTTTCTTTTTGCCTGAAATTATCAACATGCTATCGGTTCCAAATTTCCGAAATTCCAAAAATACCGGAAATAAAATGAAATTTATGGGGACATATTTGTTGCAAGTGACAAAATTCTTTTCCACTTCCATTTCTCTGCGATGACCTATCTAATGGTTTACTTCAAATTCTAATTTCTTCATACTAATTAATTTGGCATCTAAATCAACTCTACAATAAATGGAATCTCTTCCTGACGACTGCTTTACCAAAGATGGTGCACATACCTGGTTAGTAACACAAATCATCCGCTCAATCAGAACAACACTCCTTTTAATCCATCCGCTAATTAAATATTTCAGTGTATCAGTTAACCTGGTTTCAGTTAAACGCTTCCCCTTCCAGATTTTTAAAACTAATAGCGTGTCATGCTTTTATGCTATTACATTGACTATATGATAAGTTAACGATTACTTTCAAAACTTTCGGGAACAAATCACGGATAAAAAAAGCTGAACATAATGAAGGCTTTGAAGAAAGGAAAACTCCAACATGGAGGAAATAATTTTTATTTAATTGCAATAAAAAATCGATCACTAAACAAAAAAAAATCAATGAAAGAGCCTGTGCAGTGTTGACAGCATCAGCATCAGCATCAACAGCAGCAGCAGCAGCAGCAGTAGCAGTGGAAGGAGTAGCAGACACCCAACGCATTTCTCTTTTTCAGCATTTTATTTCTTCATTTCACCTTTCTTGCACTCATCTCCTCCATCATTAAACAAAACAGCAGAGAACTGAATTGAATTGAATTAGTCGTGGAAGTTTTTCAACGGTAAAAGGGATCGTTTTATCAGTGATTGCATTATTTTTATATTAGAGCACTTCCCAAAATGATTCAAATTCCCCTTCCACTTTATGGAATTTTAATGGAAGTTTACGTATATCCGTAGAAATAGAAGTTAATACAGGTATTTAAGTTACTGAGGTTTAAGCTAATTTTGAGTAAAGGAAAATTTTAATCAGTTATCACTTAGTTTGAGTGTTCCAAATTTCCCATTATATAAGATAGCCATTCGGAACCATTTAAATACCTTAGAGAAATTTTGACTTTGCAGAAAATAAACAATATTCTGGTATTTGAAACTATCAAATTGACGTTCGAGAACTGTTAATATTCATCTGCATCATTGAATATAAAAAAAAATTGCATTCGATGATAAAAATCTGTGGCATCTGTTTTAAAGCTAAAAATCTATTCATTAATTGTTAATAATATCTTCATTTATCACATTTCGATTCTATTTTAAAATAAATAGTTAATGTCATGAAAAAATTCCACATGAAGCGAAATCTAATTTACTTTTACATTTCAATATTTTCAATTCAATTTAGTATGGCTATTAGAAATGAAAGGCATTGTACAAATAAATTTAAAAAGAAAAAAGAAATATATAAAATTTTAACTTAGAAATTTCTGCTCTACTACATAACGAATAGTATACATTAACGTCTTTAGCATTACCATCACAAAAAATTACAATTATTCTTCGAAGACACTTCTTGGTTTAAATTTCATTCAATTATCATGGTTAAATAAGCAAATTGTCTCTACACTCCGTATTAAAATACCTCCTCTTCACTAATTCTACTAATCAAATGATTTTAAAAAAAATTAAAGCAAAACAAGAAATTTGCGAATTCGGATGTTTTCGATAATTGCTAAGAAATAGTACTTAAAGCGCTATGCTTTTTATTTTCAGTCAACCTATCACTTCTTTGTTTCTCAAAAGGAAAACGAAACACCCATATTCATTCTTATCTGCTTTGAAAAAAAAAATAAAGTAAAATGAAAATACAGTCCCAACTTTTTCAAATTTTTAGTGATATTTTGCAACATATCAATGGTATTTTGATGGAGTATACATCATCGATGATATGAAAAAGTTTTGCTGCAGATTATTATTATTTTTTGGGTTGTTTTTGATTTTTGTTTTTTATTGATGATGATTTTTCTTTTTTTATTTGGATTGTAATTTTTCAGTTATTTATTATGACTTTAACTATTGCTATGTTATGTTTTTTTTGGATTGTTTTTGCTCCTAAAGCTGATGAGTTTCAGTTTTGAAAGGTCTAGTTTTATGCGAGGCCCATAGAAATGTAAATAGATGAATTAAATTTGATTACGGCTCAGCTACAATTGCGTTTTTTTAAATTTAGTTTAATTAAAATTTCTATTTTTGTGTTAGGAGATCTTTTCCAAAAAAAAGCATTGTTGGTCTTCTGATCATTTTTGATTTAAAAAATTGAATAAAATAGTTATAAACATTTTAATCAAATGAATGATCAAAAAAATGATACACTACTTTGTTTATTAATTAGCGGCAATGCTAATGATAATAATGCTATAGTTCGAACATATGTTATACTGAAGGGATTTATTTATTCTTAATGACTTAATCAAAGATTCATGATGTGATTAACTTGATAAATGTTTGATAGTTCAGAAAAAGGAATAGTCTCATTGATACTGATAAAGTGATCCAGCGATGAAATAGCGTATGAATTTTCATTTCAGGTAAGAAAGATTATTTCAGAATTTTGTTTTATTACTATTGCTATTCCCACAGATAACTTTCTAACTTTAAAAAGCCAACAATTTTTTTAACAACAAAGAATTTTAATACATTTTGAATTGAAGTTTTAGATCTGGAAATTTTTCAAAAAGAGTGATCATTCCTTTTTTCTCATTATGCTTTTCGCATATCTCATATAATTTGTTTGTTCATTTGTTTTTATGTTGCATTTGTAGTCAATTAGACAGTAAATTAAAGATATAATTAAACGATAAGTTTCATTAATATCGTTTGATTGACGGAATATTGTAATATTGTTGCTGCAATCAATCTTTTATTGTTTTTCATTTTCATTAATCAAGATAATACATATAAAATCATTACAGTTACTTTATCAGTGCACCATTTTTTATCAGCATCTTGAAATAATTATAGCTTGATATTTATTCTCTTTTTTTGAAAAACAAAAATTTATTAAATTTGAAGCTATTTTTAAATTAGTGTTATTATTGATTTGATACTTGATGGAATCAATAAATAAAATGGCAGAATTGATGGTCAATAATAATTCCTGCCGCTCTGATCTTTTCTTGCACTATAATTGATACATTATACCAGGTATCTGAAATCATCCTTTTTTTTGCAGACCTCTTAAAAAGTTCAAATTTTGATAATGAATGTGCCATGTTATTGTTTTCCATCTGATCTATCTTTATTAACAAAGTTTTAAATTTAAATTAGAAAAAAGGTCTGTTACTAGTTTGAGAATATTTGAAGAAGAATACTGATATAATCGGCCATATGGGAGGCTGCAAAAATGGGAATTGCAATAATTCATTAAAATAATGATGCTAATTTTTCGCCTTATTTTAAAATATTTCTGCTCGAGGGTTTTCTTTTCAAAAAAACGTGAAAAAAAGAAAAAGAGAAAAAAATGAAATTGCAAAAGTGTAAAAAGTTCTTACACAAATAATTTTCAAAGCAAAAAGAGAAGAAAAAAGAAAAAAACTAGCATCTGTCGGAAACCCGAAACTAAAATTAAATTATTTATATTTT